TGTTGTAATGCGCCAGCGTGTGGCTGCATATTTTAAGCTCGCACTTTTTTTCAACATTTCCTTTTCTTGTGTGGCTATTCCATTTTATCTAAAGCCACATTACATTTGTAAGGACTTTACGATTCTAAACATGCTTGTTTATTCGAGAAATGCTCTTATTTCACTACGGAATTGGTATAAAACTCCCAAGATCTCAACTCAATCGCACGGATCAGTGGTTCGTCCAGTATCGAATGAAGTATGGCAAAAGCTAGCTTTTTACAACCTACTTGCTCCAACAAGAGGACAACGTGGTGGCAGTCACTTGAAAGACCATAGACCTATAAAGACAGTGCAACTTTCTGATAGAACGAGGAAGTATTCTCTCCAAAATGTGCCAAACCGCTCAAACTTATTGTTAGTCAAAACCGACGGATTCAAAAGCGTGACGACAAAAACAATCGAGCGACGAAAATCTAATCCTGGCTCGCAACTTAGTGTTGCACATCTTAATGTTCGATCATTAAAAAACAGAAGCCATATTGTACAAATACGAGAGCTAATGAGAGAGAAGGATTATGACGTCTTGGCTGTGTCTGAGTCTTGGCTCAACTCAACAGTAACAAACGCTGAAATTGAAATCGAAGGTTATAAACTAACGAGGCTCGACAGGCTGAACAAGACTGGAGGAGGAGTTTGCGTGTTTACTAAAGCGCCACTGAAAGTTAAGTGTCTCAAGGATATATCTGGGATCTCTGAGCAAGGTTTTCACCAGTTGTGGATACAGATACAACTTAATCGCCTTAAATCACTCGTGTTTTGCGTGACTTATAGGCCTGACTATTGTCCCGTGTCATGTTTCATCGATGATTTTATGGATAACTATTCACAAGCGCTCATTCTTGGCAAGCCATTGTTGATTACTGGTGACCTAAATTGTAATTTGTTGGAGCCAGACTGTCCCGAAGCAGTTGCTCTCCTTGATTTCTGCAAAAGTGCAAAGTTAACTCAGCTTATTAAAGAACCGACTCGCGTGACTGAAACTTCATCAACTCTATTGGACGTCATTATAACACCAATTAACACCAACCTAGTGGAGAACTCTGGAGTACTGCAATGTCACATCAGTGATCACTATTTAGTACATGCTACACTGAAATTAAAGATTCCTAAACTTCCACCAAGAGTTGTAAAATTGCGATCTTTCAAACATTATGATGTTCAACAGTTTAATGCAGACCTAGAGCAAATCCCTTGGGATRAAGTTGCCTCAGTCGATGATGCCAGCAGTATGCTAGATCACTTCAACAACAAGTTATCAATGTTTTGGATGCGCATGCTCCTGTTAATCAAACATCGCTGCTGCCCTTTTGTCAATATCGAAATACAAGATCTGATGCGCAACAGGAGTATTTTGCTGGAGCGAGCCCGTCAATTTCGTCTGCCTGCGGATTGGGAAGAATATCGCTCATCGCGGGAGAGAGTTAAGTCCGAGCTCAGAAATGTGGAGAAAGAATTTGTCAAGAAAAAGCTTGAAAAAAGCAAAAGCACCAGCTCCAAATGGAAAGTTATCCAAATGGAAAGTTATCCGAAATTGTATTCCACGCAGAGAATCTTCTCAGCCAGTGTACACAAAATATCTAAAGGATATTGCCAATGAATTTAACCAATTCTTCATTTCTGTTGGTGGAAAGGCTTCTAAAGATTCACAGTCGTTTTATTAAAATAGACTTACACAATCTGCCTCAGCTGTTGCCCACAACCCCAAACCTGTACATCTCAGAGACAGACAAGTTCTGCTTCCACGCAGTATCTAGCAGTTAAGTGCAGAAGGTATTAATGTCATTCCCATCTGACAAGGCACCTGGATACGATGAGATCCCAATGTCGGTCATCAAAGACGCCTTGCCTTGTATTCTGCCAATCCTCACACTGATTGTTAACCGCTCCTTGCTGTCATCTGTTTTTCCAGTTGCCTGGAAAACTTCAGAGGTAGTGCCCTTACATAAGGACGGTGACCACGAGATGGCAAGTAATAACCGTCCAGCGTMATTACTTCCAGCGGCATCGAAAGTTTGTGAGCGAATTGCGCTAAACCAACTGAYGTCATACTTGAATAAAAATAACCGTCTCACAGAACACTAGAGCGGGAATAGGCCGATGTATTCTTGTGAAACCCTCAACGTTTTTATGACTGACAAGGCGTTAGAAGCAATGGATTCCAWAAAAATGACGCTTTTGGTTCTCCTGGATTTGTCCAAAGCATTCGACAGCCTGGACCATGGTATACTACTTTCAAAACTACAATCACTTGGTCTGAGTCAAAGCGCTCTAGAATGGTTCCGCAGCTATCTATCTGGGCGAAGACAAGAAGTCTCTGATTTGAAAGATATAGTTTATGGGGTTCCGCAGGGATCGATCCTTGGACCGGCCATTTTYAAYATCTATCTGAATGATCTACCTACTATCCCGCATTTCGGTTCGTTGGAGTCATACGTGGATGATTCCAACTATACCTGTCGTTCCMAGTCAARGACGTGAATATAATCGTAAAACAGATCAGTGAAGACCTTTCATTTATAGCGTCATGGTGCTGCCACAATCATCTTCTTATCAACCCTGACAAGACCAAGCTGTTAGTCATGGGGACTCGCCAAATGCTACACAAACTTCCAGACTTTTATATCACATTACTGGGAAAGGAAATTGCTCCAGTTGCTTCAGCAAGAGATCTTGGCGTACAAGTAGATGCAACTCTCAGCTATAATRAACACGACACTAATACCACGGCTGCTTGTGTGGCAAATCTATGCCAGATTAACAGGATCAAGCATCTTCTTGACTCGAGAWCTTTAGAGAGCGTTATCAAATCTCTAGTATTCAGCAAACTGTACTTCTGCTCGACGGTTTGGTTGATCAAGCTTTTGAATCTGGCCAACACGTCGTCCGACGCAGCAATCGGTTTTGGTCTGGATTATCRACTGACCTCATAATAGAGCAAGTCTTGATGCGCAGTGTCAAGACGACCGATGGGTTGACACGTGGCAGAGGAATGACATAGACGCAACGTCTTGTGTGGGTGCTGTCTATGCCAGCATGCRCTGAGGTCAATAATGCTATGCAGACACTAACTGGCAGAAAATATGAAACAAGTGAGCAGCACATTGATACTATCAAGAACAAAGACACAACCCACACACGGAAACAGCGTGATCACAAAGATACACAGGAGATTGTGCAACATCTCCGAGAGCGTAACCCTTTCGGTCCAGATCCTTCCTTAAGCAACATCACAACAGGAGTTGTCGCAGATGACAATGTAAATGCTGACAATGCCAAAGATGTAGGTGATAAGATCATCCAACCAACGAAAGATAAGAGCATGCGAGATTACTCTTTTGTAAAGAAGGCACAAGCTGTTACACTTGCTCGAAAGACAGCTATATCTTTGAAAGATGATGTGATTGATGTCGATCCACTGTTTCTCTTTCAGAGACTCAGTGTCTTARCAACAGGAGGAAGATTCGATAATCCTGATAATTTTTTTTCGATTTGAGATGTGTAGCTACCCACCTGCTCTTTTTGACCAATGCCTGCTGCCTAAACAACCAAGTAAATCAGTACTYGCTGATGCGTTGTGGTCACGATGTAAGGACAAGCAGCCCACGGAACTTCCAGCTCAATAATTTCACTATGTTCTGGATGGTGGAGCGCTTTTACATCGTGTTCCTTGGCCTAAAAGATTTTTGTTCGGAGCCATTCTTGATTTGTACGTACAGTATGTGAAAGCCAAGTACAGTCAATCGACTATAGTTTTTGATGGGTACGAAGAGGGACCCAGCACAAAAGATTGTGCCCACCTTCGTCATTCCAAAGCACACAGCCCAGAGGTCAAGTTCACAGAAAACATGGTGTTGACAACAAAGAAAGACGCATTCCTTTCTCATGAATCAAACAAGCAAAGATTCATCAATGCTTTAAGTACAAAGCTACGAGACTCCGGTTATAGAACAATTCATGCCTCAGGAGATGCTGATCTTTTAATCGCCAAGACTGCAATCGAGGTAGAGGAGAAATCTACATCAGCTGTGTTAGTAGGCGACGACACAGACGTAGAAGGCTACATCTTCTCTTGTTTCCATGCAAATGCCCAAGCTTATAACGGCCTTTTTTGTTTTGCTCCCCAGCAAAAAACTCGCATGGCCAAGTCTAAACGAATATGGGACATAAAAGCTACTATTGCAGAAGTAGGAATCAATTCGCCTTTATCACGGCCCGCCATCTTGAATTACGTCACTGAATGTTTAACACGAAAACGAGGTCACGCGTGGTAACACAATTCAACAAAATGGCGTCTTCTAGTGTTAAGTCTCACTTTTGGCATCGAAATCTTTCAAATATTCCTAAATTTTCTAACTCTTTTGTGGAGAAATTTGCTGAAGAGAATCTTCCGATTAAGGCCACGATAAATACAGGCTACAGGCTACAGTTCTTTCATGAAGAATATATTCACGAAATTGAAGGTAAGATGTCAGACCTCGTGGTCTCTTTTATTGTGGCGTTGTTGCGTCATTTTTGATGTGGATTTTACTAAGCTAAAGTATCTTTTTCTTCTTGTTATTACAGTAAAACTTTGCAAAGAAGATAGTAGTACGTCAGTGAGGGCGCAGTGCTTTCGAAGCATGAAGAAAAATGAGGAGCCYYACAAACTATGTGTTGTGTTTGATCGGCAGTCTTCCACACCAAAGATCAACAAGTACCATTGCAGTTGCGCTGCTGGTCAAGGTCTTTGCCACCATGTTCTTGGGTTGCTATTCACTMTAGCACATTTTCAATTGCTTGGCTTAAAAAGTGTACCCGCCGGTAGTTTCGAAAAAATCAAAACCACAGGTAAATAAAACCACAGTAGAACGTCCACTATATTTTACCCTTTATTGTTTTTATTCATCATCAATATTCCAGTTTCACCTTATAACTCCGTTTTCCTTGTAAGGCACTAGCATATTACTTATGCAGGATCTTAACAATATATTATTACTTGTAGACATGGCATGTTCCCAGTCGCAAAGAAGGCATAAAGCCAAGGCCTGTAACAGAAATTGTTATTCAGAAGTCAAAGCCAAAATACGATCAACCAGCACCCAAAAGAAAAAKAACAGTATCTGGAATCACCAGCACGGTTTATAAGCCCTTTGAACAGTCTTTAAGCAGCCTGGACTTACCAAGTTTGCTATCAACACAATTCAAAGAGATGACCCCACATATCTGCGGATATGGCCTGATGATAATGATCAGCCAGATTTWGTAGACTCAGCCTTTGGAAAGGTTCCGAAAGGCTGTGTCATAAGCTATCAACAGCCAGTCAAAGTCAAAGGTGACCCTGGTGTACAATTACCACGCTTTGATTTTCCAGTCTTAAGGTACCCAGATATAGTTCTCAACGAAAGGGAAGACCTTTTCTTCAGTGCCCTTGCTGTAACTGAAATGCAGTCAGTGGAATTTGAAAGAGAAACAAGAGAACAAACAGTCCACAACTAAAGCATGGCATCAACTAAGGAAGTATAGACTTACAGCATCGAACTTCAAACACATTTGTTCAAGAAAGAAGGACTTTGAAAGCCTTTCGTCACGCCTCCTTAAGGGAAAAAATATCCAAACAGCAGCCATGAAATATGGAATTGCGAATGAAGATGTAGCAGCAGATATGTACACTACTAAATTTGGAAGGGAAACCTATAAAGTAGGATTTCTGATAAATCATTCTTTACCACACCTGGGTTGTAGTCCAGACAGAAGAGTTTATGATGATTCAGAGGAACACCCATGGGGCCTAATTGAGATCAAGTGCTCCCCAGCAGACAGGCTGGATAACYTAAAATATCTAAAGTTGGAACAAAATGGAACATATTCTTTGAGAAAGGTCCATGTTTACTTTCATCAGGTTATGGGGTGTCTTGGTTTGTCT